GGATTTGGGCTCCTGGTTTAGGCAGAAGCCCTCGGAGTCAATATCAGCTTGGCTCCTGCATCTGTGGGACTTAGGGGTGAATGAAATTGTTCTGTCAGGATCAGAGATGGGAAAGCTGGCTTCCCTGACAGTGCAGCCTGCCTTGAGGCAGTGATTACAAAATGCACATCAGACCCCAGGGAGTCACTTGCTCCTCAGTTGGCTTATGGCTGCACTTCATGCTGTGTGGCCCAATTAGGGTGATCTATGATCCTCCCTTTTAATGGCAGATGTATGCTGAGCTCCAACAGGTGTTATGAGAGCTAGGCATAAGAAATGTCATCTATAGTCCAGAGAATTATGGCCCAGGTGAAGATATTTTCCATACTGGGATGAGAAATATTGTGCTTCAAATGGCTCCCACATCCCTCCTTGGGTGTCTAGTGGCCATTCTTTAACCTTACTTAGGGCATCCCATAAGCAAAATGACATGTACAGTAGCGGACGTAGAAGAGACTGAAGCAATGGGCTCCCGGAGAGAAATGAGGTCTGCTACTCACAAGAAGAATTTAAGGGGCCCCAGGAAGGTAACGCAGACCCAGATGTGGGTTGATTTAATATGGGCAGGAGAAGATGGAAGGAAATTAGATGGGAAGTCAAACTGGGTTTTACCAGAGCTATGGCAACAACTGAAACCCAAGCAGCAGTTCCAGCCATTATGATCAAAGAGGCAGAGATCAGAGACAGACCCACAAATCTGGCCTCTGTGTTTGCAAGACTTCCTGCTGGAGAGTGAGCTAACTTCACTGGATCCCATAGAGGAAGATGACTGAGGAATACGGTTTGATGAGGGGAAGGTCAAGATATCTGCCATGAGGGACCAGGGGGAGAACAGAGGCCACATGTTGAAATAGCTGTCCATTAGTCCCCAGTGAACATACAACGTTTCCTGGGCTTGGTGGACACGGGCTGAATGTTTACTGATTCAAGGTAACCCTGAGCAGTTCCCTGGGACCCCCACTATCATAGATGGATAAGGGCGTAAGGATATCAGAGTGAAACAAGCTCAAATCCCTTTGGGAATAGTACATCTACCCACAAAAGATTATACTGTGTATATATCTCCTATCCCTGAGTATATTTTGGGGATTGATATCCTGCAGGGTCTATGGTTGCAGACCACTGCAGGTGAGTTCAGACTGAGAGTATGTGTGGTGAAGGCAGTTCTGAGGGGACATGCTAGGCACCCACCCATAGTTTTGTCTGTTCCTTGCTGGGTGACTAATACAAACAATACAAACTGCCAGGATGGCATAGGAGATTGGAGAAACTCAAGGAGCTGGAAAAGGTGGGTATTATAAAGCCCACCCATAGTCCTTTCAAGTCCCCAGTGTGGCCAGTAAAAAAGCCAGATGGCTCCTGGAGTATGACTGGATTACAGAGAAATGAATAAAGTCAGACCCCCTATGCATTCTGCTGTCCCCTCTACTGCAGGTCTGATGGATACCATCAGCCATGAACTAGGAACATACCATTACATGGTAGATCTTGCTAATGCCTTCTTTTCCATTGCCGGTTTGGGCAGAATTGCAGGCCATGTGGCTTGTGATCAGCCAGGAGCCCTCCCCTCTAGTTCTCTGCACTGACAGCTGGGCTGCCTTTCAGGGCTGGACCCTGTGGCTACCAATCAAGTACCATGACAACTGGCTCACCGACCCCTTCGGGGACAAGAATTGTAGTAAGACTTATGGGCCTGTGGTGAGACTAAAATAATTACAGTATACCNGATAAATTGGCCCAGATATGTTGGTTAGAAGGAAAGCCTGCCTCTGATGTAGCCAAATGGTTACATCAGTGTTTGTTGCATGCAGGACAAAAGACAATGTGGGCTGTAGCCCATTGGTGGGGCTTGCCTTTGACCTTTGAAGAAGTTAGTAGAGCCTGGCAGGAGTGTGTCATGTGCTCCAAAAGGGACTTACACCGAGTTCCACAGCAACATGGGACAATAGCTAAGGGGCCTATACCCCTTGTCACATGTCAGATAGACTATATTGGGCCTCTACCTGTGTCAGAAGGATATCGGTATGCTATGACTTGTGTGGACACAGATACTGGTCTTCTGGTTGCTTTCCTACCTGTTGTGCAGACCAGCAGATGACCAAAAGAAGCCTGGAGAATCTCTTTGCTGTCTATGGTCAACCACAGGTAATTGAGACTGATCAGGGCACCCATTTTACTGGTCATACACTCCAAGAATAGGTGCGACAGCTCGGAATGAATCAAATGGAAGTTTCATGTGCCATACAATCCTACCACAGCAGGCATGTTAGAGTGGCACAATAGCTTGTTAAAATCTGGACTAAAGTCAGATACCAATATCTGCGAGGATGGTCAGTCCGCTTATGGACCGTGCTATGGAGTTTGAATGAGAGACCTCAAAAGGGAGCCCTGAGCCCTATAGACATGTTAGCAAATATGGCTGCCTTCCCTGTAAAAGTACAAGTACAAACCAAGGAAGAATCACTGAAGCCGAGGTTCGGCCACCAGAATATCATCTTGCTGCCAGCACCATTTGCACTGAACCCCGTGGATTCCACTGAGTGGACGCGGCCTTGGAACTTTTGACACATGGATTAATGATGGCTGGCTCTCCTGGCACCTTGGGGACAAGGTGTATTCCTAGAATAACAGCAGAGTGGCCACCAAAGACAACAGTAATATATCCTGAACAGCCAGAAAGTAAGAGCATCTTACCAGCGAGTTTTGTTCTATCATTATGGCCAGTGCATGCACCTCCAATAGCACTATATATAGATCCTTCAGTAACCCCCACGGGGAAAGGAGTAAAAGTGTGGTATACTAGACCTGGAAGGGAACCCCTTTCCTGCTACAGTCCTATCACAGGACCACTCTCTTGCATGCATCCTATCTGATGGAGAAGATTTGCCTATCTTGGTGTCACTAAAACTTGTGTCTTTTCACCCCTAAGGTCTTTGTGGATTGGGAACTTCCTCTGGCTTGAGGATTATTATAATTTTTGTTATTAGCAACCTCCTTTGGCTTGAGGATTATTATAATTTTTGTTACCTGTATCAAAATCTTGTTGTATCTTAATTGTTGTTATTATCTCTAAGTTGTTGTTATCCACTGTTGTTGTTTAGGAATCTGTTTATGGTGCTCCATCTTTCTCGCACAGGGACCATTCTGGAAGATTGGAAGTGTGTAGATTGTAAGGCAAGAATCCTGGAGGGGTGGAGTGTTGGGAAGTTAGGGTTCCTATTGCCAGGATCCTGACTGAACTTAAACCACCTGATGATGTAACTGGCCTGTTGCTAGGCTACCACTCCACACCTTCAGGCAATAAGCTATTATTGCACTACATAGAGAGCTTGGCCCAGTGCTCTGGGCAGGGGCAGAGACACTAGTGTTCGACCTACCGCTGGGAGAATGAGCTGGGTAATAAACCCTTTCACCCCAAAGAATGTTTTGCTGTCAATTTCTTTGGTAACATTGAATCCATAGCAAACTTGGCCGGGGCTGAAACCCATTGGCAAGACAGTGTGACAAATGTCTTTGCTTTTGTCTCATAGTGGTACTTTTAATTGAAAAGGGTTTTTAAAACCTTTGCTTAAATAGTCACGTAGCTTATCCCCTTTGCAATGGGATGGCAAGCAATATACCCTTTAAAAAAATGCTTGGAGTAATTATCAAAATTCCCAATGTCAAAGGTTTTCAACTCACCAGTATTTATTAGTGGCCATTAATTAATGCCTTTCCAAGTAGGAATCTACCTTCATTTTCCTTTTTAAAAATTCTCTACTGGAAACAGTGAACCTGTGAGAAGAGGGTTGAACAGTAATTTATGGGACTTGTGTACAACTCCTGCTCCCAGGGACTGTTATCCTTTAGCTTTTCCTTTTGAATTAAAATTTCCCTTGTGCCTTCCATCTCAATTTCATTTAATCCATTGCCAAGCTATTCATTTAGCAAATGAAGGAATGGGAACAACAAAAACCAAATGGACCCACCTAAAAATTAAGTGGCTTGAGTGGAGTCATACAGTGAGACATGAAACACTAGAAGAGCAGTAATAGAGGGTGGGTAGTGAACTTAGTTTAGATTAGTTGAAATTGAGGTAATTGTGAGATATCTTGATAAAGTAATCTATAGACAGCTGTGTATATGGATTGAGCTCAAAAGAGAGAGCCAGGATACAGATGCAAAATTGAGTCCTTGTGAATATATTTTAGCATGCAACTTGAAGTTTAAATTCTTCTCCCAGAAGTAAGACCAAAGATTTTTACATTCTGTTCAGTTACATTTACAACCATTTATCATCTGTCTACAACATGCAAAGTATTGTTGTAGACATGTGAGGGGGGGTGTTAAAAATGATAGTTGGCTTTCTAGAGGCTTATAACCAGCAAGGAGACCTTCATGATCTTAATTTAAAGCACATGTGGTAAATCCTGGACAAGATGTACAGCTAAAGTGATGGGATTGCAAGGAGGAACGGGGTAATCAAATTGATTGGGACTATATGGGAAAGGATATAGGTGGTGGGTTTTGAGTTGATGTCTTAAAGGGTTGATAGAACTTCATTGGGTAGATGTAGGTAGAAGGGCATTCTAGACAGTAAATAACCTCAGCAAAGGCTTAAAAATGAAGAAATGTAGTATTTATATTGGGAACAGAAACCCAACAATCATATGTTCTTGGGGCATGGGTTTGAGAAGGTATACAGTTTGAAAGAGTAGGCAGGGCTCAGTTAATGATACTTTGTAAATTTTTTGTATCAGAGTATTTAGAATTCAGGAATATCCCCTTTCAAACATGACTTGTTGCCCACTTGAATATGCTGTGATGTGAATTGTATTTCTTAACAATTTAATTGATAATTACAGTAGAAACTTATAACCCACTCAGTCTATGAAAGGAGCCTTCTTCCAATGCGATAGTTGCAAAAGATTGTACTATAGTCACAATTATATAGACTATGTAATCAGTAGGTAGAAAATCCCTCATATGACTAACAGGTGATTTCAGTTTCATATTAGTATTCGATCTTAAAGGTTTACACGCCCTTTAAGTATACTTGCTTTCAGTGAAGAAGAAATAAAAGATTCCCGGGATGGAGATTTTCCAGAAGGGACTTTGAGTCAAAGAAGGCTTTTTATATATGACAGGTAAGTCTGTATTTTATGTTTGTTAAACTTGTTGACAAGTGAAAGTTTGCTAGATTTTACTTCAAACGTCTGCAAAGAGATCATGTACAGTGGGCAAAGGTTATGTATTTTGGCTGGCAGCCAGGTAGCCACAATGCAGGGTTGACCTCTGAACAAATTGGATTAAAACTGTCCTATTAGGTAGGTGGCACAAATTCTCTCTGAAACCAAATGTTGTAGAAATCATTGTTTCTCCTGAGGTGGAGAAATAATGGATCACTATTGGAACAGTGATGACTCTAGGATAGAGGTAAACTATCCTTCACAGATGTTTTACAATGACATGGTTACTGAAAGAGCTGCAGGCCTTCTTTATGAGAACAGCTATGTATATTACCTTGCTGTGTAGTTTTCTTTCTAGTTGGCATTGTGTTCTGCCTGATAAAATTATGAATACAGTTGACATATCAGATTACTCTATTGAGCCTGATGTTCTGCCAATAATGCAGTTTCTAAGTTTCTTAGGAATTGTTTTTCTCATTTTTTAAAATCTGACCCCAAACTGCTACTGTTTTCCTTATCCACTCCAGGTAAAGGAGGCTCTCTTTGTGAGGAGAGCAATTAAGAAATGTACACACAGAGTGTGGTTAGATATTACAGTAATTTTAAGGACATTATCTACATTAAAACCAGTTTTCTCACTAGAGATACCTTATATAGCCAACATCTCTAAGCTTCAGTTTTCTGATATGTAAATTTGGCCAATAATACCCTTCTCATAGGGATCTGTGAGGATTTAATGAAATAATGTATGTAAAACACTAGACACACAGTACACACAATAGCAGCTATTATTACTATCTATTCTTCCAGTATATATGCAGCTTTTTCTCCCTAGATATTAAAGCTTAAGAGATTACATTTTTTAGAATGATTTTAGAACAGGACCTGGATATACATTAAACACATCCAATATAATCATGCTAGGAATCTCCCAATATTTGTGAAACTTTTGTTTCTGGAGAACATACTTAAAATATAGTACATTAGACTTTCAAACTAGCTATTCCTTCCATCTGGAAAGCTTTTGATAGGATATCCATGTGGCTAATTTCGTACTTAAATGCCACCTTCTCAGGCCTGCCCTGACTGTTTAATTAAAATTGCAGCCCCTGATGTGCCTGCCTCTATTCCAAATCCTCATCTCCCTTAATGTGCTTTGTTTTTCCCACAGCACTATCACCTTCTAATATAAAGTTAATTTGCTTATTACTTTATTGGTAATTGACTGTCTCTGCTCGGATGTTTCACAAGGGCAGGAATTTTTGCCTCTTTTATCATTTAATATATCCCAAGAGCCTAAAACAGCAGATGGTAGGTTCTAAATAAATATTTAATTAGTTCAACTGAACAGAACCTTCTGATTAAACCTCATCCTCTTGAACTCCATGCTTATGTTGTACATGATATCTTCCATTTTAAGCTTAGAAGCTTACTGCAGGGAAATTCATGGCCTGTTAGGTTGGAAGACTCAGATTTAAAATTACTTTTTCAATAATGTTGCCTGCAACATTCTTGGCAGGGAAAGTATTTATAATGAATTTTTTTTCTCTTTTTTTTTTTAAGAGCAAAATACATTTTAATATTCTGAAGTCTTTTAAACAAAATACTTGTAAGTGGTAAAATGATAAGAACACCAGAAGTATTAGTTTGTGTGTGATTTTAGTAACACTTTCCCTTCATGGTTTTTAAAGTAATAGATGCTCCTTATAGAACATATAGGGTGTTAGTTAGTCTACTGGGATCACCATAACAGAATACCACAGACTGGGTGGCTTGAACAACAGAAGTCCATTTTCTCACAGTTCTGGAGATGGGAAGTCCAATATCAAGGTGCCAACAGGGTTGGTTTCTGGTGAGTCATCTCTTTGGGCTGCAGATGGCTGCTTTCTCACTGTATCCTCACATAGACTTTCCTCTGTGTGTGAGGGGATTGGATGTCAGGGAGACAGATCTCCGGTATCTCTTCCTCTCATAAGGACACCAGTCCTATGGGATTAGGGCCCAACCTTATGACTTCTTTGGCCTTAATTGCCTCCTTAAAGGCCTATCTCTAAATACAGTTATATTATGAGTAAGTACTTTAGCATTTGAATTTGGGGTTGGGAAACAATACAGTCCATACATATAGAAAAGATGGAGGAAGAAAAAAAATTCATTTGTAATGCTGTTAATTCCCTATATGAAGTCACTATTAAAATTTTTGTATTTCTCCAGTCACATTTCCTTTGAATTTTCAAAGCATTAAGATGATACTATAGTATTTTTTCACTTAATATTCTTCAAACAAAAGTCAAAGATTGCAAACTCAGATGCTTACAGGGATCAGGCAGGCAGGCAAGGTTAAATAATGATAACTAATATTTATTGACCCCAGTGTGCCAAGTATTTTATTCTAGAGGTTTATATATATTATATATATTATCTTTTTGACCTTCACAGCAACTCTATGAGGTATATTCCATTATTATCTCCATGTTTCAGGTGAATAAAATAAGTCATAGGTGGGTAAAAGAACATACATAAGGATGTCTTGCCAATGGGTTACAGCCCTGGGCAAGTTCACTATGGATTCAATGTGACCAAAGAAATTGACAGCAAAACATTCTTTGGAGTGAAAGAGTTTATTACCCAGCTCATTCTTCCAGCAGTAGGTCGAACACTAGTGTCTCTGCCTCCGCCCAGAGCACTGGGCCAAGCTCTCTATGTAGTGCAATAATAGCTTATTGCCTAAAGGTGTGGAGTGGTAGCCTAGCAACAGGCCAGTTACATCATCAGGTGGTTTAAGTTCAGTAAGGATCCTGGCAATAGGAACCCTAACTTCCCAACACTCCACCTCTCCAGGATTCTTGCCTTACAATCTACACACTTCCAATCTTCCAGAATGGTCCCTGTGCGAGAAAGATGGAGCACCATAAACAGATTCCTAAACAACAACAGTGGATAACAACAACTTAGAGATAATAACAACAATTAAGATACAACAAGATTTTGATACAGGTAACAAAAATTATAATAATCCTCAAGCCAAAGGAGGTTGCTAATAACAAAAATTATAATAATCCTCAAGCCAGAGGAAGTTCCCAATCCACAAAGACCTTAGGGGTGAAAAGACACATGTTTTAGTGACACCAAGATAGGCAAATCTTCTCCATCAGATAGGATGCATGCAAGAGAGTGGTCCTGTGATAGGACTGTAGCAGGAAGGGGGTTCCCTTCCAGGTCTAGTATACCACACTTTTACTCCTTTCCCCATGGGGGTTACTGAAGGATCTATATATAGTGCTATTGGAGGTGCATGCACTGGCCATAATGATAGAACAAAACTCGCTGGTAAGATGCTCTTACTTTCTGGCTGTTCAGGATATATTACTGTTGTCTTTGGTGGCCACTCTGCTGTTATTCTAGGAATACACCTTGTCCCCAAGGTGCCAGGAGAGCCAGCCATCATTAATCCATGTGTCAAAAGTTCCAAGGCCGCGTCCACTCAGTGGAATCCACGGGGTTCAGTGCAAATGGTGCTGGCAGCAAGATGATATTCTGGTGGCCGAACCTCGGCTTCAGTGATTCTTCCTTGGTTTGTACTTGTACTTTTACAGGGAAGGCAGCCATATTTGCTAACATGTCTATAGGGCTCAGGGCTCCCTTTTGAGGTCTCTCATTCAAACTCCATAGCACGGTCCATAAGCGGACTGACCATCCTCGCAGATATTGGTATCTGACTTTAGTCCAGATTTTAACAAGCTATTGTGCCACTCTAACATGCCTGCTGTGGTAGGATTGTATGGCACATGAAACTTCCATTTGATTCATTCCGAGCTGTCGCACCTATTCTTGGAGTGTATGACCAGTAAAATGGGTGCCCTGATCAGTCTCAATTACCTGTGGTTGACCATAGACAGCAAAGAGATTCTCCAGGCTTCTTTTGGTCATCTGCTGGTCTGCACAACAGGTAGGAAAGCAACCAGAAAACCAGTATTTGTGTCCACACAAGTCATAGCATACCGATATCCTTCTGACACAGGTAGAGGCCCAATATAGTCTATCTGACATGTGACAAGGGGTATAGGCCCCTTAGCTATTGTCCCATGTTGCTGTGGAACTCAGTGTAAGTCCCTTTTGGAGCACATGACACACTCCTGCCAGGCTCTACTAACTTCTTCAAAGGTCAAAGGCAAGCCCCACCAATGGGCTACAGCCCACATTGTCTTTTGTCCTGCATGCAACAAACACTGATGTAACCATTTGGCTACATCAGAGGCAGGCTTTCCTTCTAACCAACATATCTGGGCCAATTTATCTGCTTCATCATTTCCTGGGGATGCCAGTGGCAAATGACCTGTCACAGGGTATACTGTAATTATTTTAGTCTCACCACAGGCCCATAAGTCTTACTACAATTCTTGTCCCCGAAGGGGTCGGTGAGCCAGTTGTCATGGTACTTGATTGGTAGCCACAGGGTCCAGCCCTGAAAGGCAGCCCAGCTGTCAGTGCAGACAGCTAGAGGGGAGGGCTCCTGGCTGATCACAAGCCATATGGCCCACAACTGTGCCCATTGGCTGCTCTTCCCCTCACCATCTTCCATTCATATTGTCTCAGTCTTAGGATGGAAAGGTATGGCCCTCCATTTTGGGGGCTGCCCACAACTGGAGCCGCCTTTGTACCGTGCATTTTTGTGTATAGGGGCTCTTTCCTGCCATTAGGGACTCTCCTCTACTAACGGTTAATAGGCAAGTTCTTCCTGCTTTTCACTAGTATATGTCACCAGCCCCAATAAGCACTGCAGTTCTTCAATCAAGGGGCTAATAGGGCACTATGCTGCTGTAGGTAAGCACCACACTTGGCTAGTGTGGATGTTTGTGCCACACCACTCCTTGGCTTTTGGGTCCAGTCTTGTACCCACCCCAAGATGGATAGGTGGTTATTACCTTTATTTGAGCCATTCCAGTGATGCCTTCTGT